TTTAATGTTTCATATTTGTACTTTTGACATTTATATAAGTGAGTGCATGTATGTATTCGTATACTGTATGTCGACGTGTATTTTATTGATGTACTTCATTAAGAATAAGAGGAGACCTACTTAAACCACAAAAGAAATCTAGAATAATTAGAATTGCTCATCACTTCTTTAGTGGTCTTATCACTTATATTCATGACTCCTAGTGGCATAACGTCACTTGTGGGAAATGTGATCCCATTCACTTCTCCTCGGTGAAATTGACTTTACTCGACTAGTTCAACGGCTTTTGACCTTTTTTTATTTTCAATATATTCCCATTAATTAATGATGTATTTGTGCAGCATCAAGAATTCACCACTACTGAAGTCTTATGGTGGCGAGGTTTCACCAGGATTTTAGAATCAAAAGGACTTATTAGGGAGAGTGATGGCATGGTAATGTTTATACACAGTGAATGGTTGTCCTATAATATCGAACGAATCCTGCTTCTTACTCTGTATTTTTTAATAACAAACAACAAAATAATAAACCAGTTTCGTAGCATTTCCCAGTGCACCTCCAACTTCCCTCATCCACAACATCCCATCCCATCCCATCCGGCCATCCCACCTACACATAACCCAGGACGTATATGTGTTAGGGTGTGCCGTGTGCAAGAAGTGCTATAGTACTTGCCTCCCATTTTCGAAGGCCTACAATTTTGAAAATGTGGTATTTATAATGCACAAAAGCTATTTTCATTTTATTTAAGAAAATATTTTGTTGATTTAATTTGAAAAAATATGAAGACGGTAATATCTATAACATATTCCAAGATATAATTGTGCATAACCCCCTCCACTGTTCTACTATTGTGTAAGTTTTTAATATTAAAAAATGCATCCAGAATTTTTTATTATTTTAATTCTTTCATGTCTTTCTGCAATTAACAGTCCCTTGGTGTACATGTGTGGCAGAGTCGTGTACAGATAAGATGTCCAGAACTAACAGAAGTAGGAAGACAATTTCTGAGCTCTGGAATAGAAGAAGCATTTTATGTTTATCCTGAAGCAGATATGCTACTAGCCACAGCACAGCCCAAGTCTAATTCTAGCTTTGCAGAATGGGGAAAAGGTTGGGCTGATCCAGAGATCAGGCGGCAGCGCTTAAAGAAAAGGAGGTGGGGGAAATTGCCCAGTGAAAGAAAGCCACGTAAACGGCCTAATGTGAGTAGTGTTCGAGGAAGGTTAACTGCAAAGCTCTCTGCAAAGAAATGACCAGAAGCGCCCATTCTTTCCTGCAATTTATTACACCAGTATTGGAAAATACACACATTCAGGCACTATAATCCACAAGCACAGGAAACTAAAGTTAGCACTACTATTTAGGTATTTCTGGCTCTGACATAAGTGACTTAGGGTTCTGCACAGGAAACTAGTTAGGTTCAATAGAGGAATGGGTAAATGAAGAGTACATTTTTGTGTTACATTATTTGGTTTATTTGAAAGGGGAGAAAGGTGGGAACATCTTCTCCTCCCACCACTTTTTGTTACGTAGTATTTTTTAGTGAGAATAGAGGAGCACTTTACCTCCCTTTGCTGCTATATGAAACCCTGCTATATGAAACCAGACGAGGAAGTAGTCCATTGCCCACTCACTCTCATAGTCCCCGACTCCCCGGCTCAGAATTCCATAAGGCCTTGTTTGGTTCAAAGGAGGGGAGGGGAGCTGGGGAGGGAAGGGGAGAGTCAGGGAAGGGGAGGGAAGAATTTTGATAAAAAAATTGTGTTTGGTTGGAGGAAATAGGAGGAAAGGTTTAATGAAAATATTTTCCCAATTTACCTTTATTTGATAGCTTACTTAAAAAGTTAAAAAAATAGATACATCTCTAACAATGGGGGATAGTACTTCTATGGTCATGAGTCATATTAGAGATGTAGCTATTTTAGAGATGTAGCTTACCTTTATTTTCCCAATTTCTCTCTCCTCTGCACAATTCTCAACCACACAATTTTCACTTTCTTAATCCGCGTGCCACTTTATTATGGAAGAAAATTCAGGGACGGAGGTAGTACTAGTAATTTTTTTTTTTTAAATTTTTATATTTTTATTTTTAATTTTTTTTAGTTTTTTTAATGTTACAATTATTAACTTTTTTCATTTTTTCGTTTTTTAATTTTTTAAATCTTTAATCTTTAAATTTTTAAAATTTTAAATTTTTAAATTTTTCAAAACTTTTTATTTTTTACTTTTTAATATTATAACGTTTTGTTCATTCACGTAGGAGATGAATAGTTTGTGGTTATCAATACGTTTCCTCCCCTTCCCTCCTACTTCAACCAAAAACACAAATCCCTCACTCCCCTCCTCTCCGAAACCCTCCAACCAAATCGGGCCTAAAAGTGGTTTCAGCCCTATTTACCTACGCTCTTCCTCCCCTGATCCCCCATGGTTTAAAAAATGTAAAATGACCAGTTACGTATATGATTAGGCCTGGACTCGGGCCGGGCGGCCCGCCTTGGAATCGGCCCGAACCGGTTACTGTTTGAATCGGCCCGAACCGCCGGCCCGCCAGGGACCGGTCCGGGTAGGCCTGACCCGCTGGGGTTCCGGTCCGGGCTCGGGCCCCTCAAAAGGTGAACCAGCCCGCCCGGTTCGGGCCCGGTCCGGGCCTTTTTTTTTTTTTTTTGAATTTCTTTTAAGTTTTTGGGTTGGGTATTTTGGGCCATTTGAGGTGGTTTGGGGGTGAGGGGGGAGGGTTGGGGGTTAATTAGGAAAAGCCAAAAAAAATATAAATTTAACCGAGGCCCGGCCCGACCCGGGGGTTACCCGGGCCGGTTCCGGGCCTCCCCTTTCATGAACCGAGGCCCGGCCGGGCCCGAATCCAGCCAAATATGATATAAAGTTTTATATGGATTATGTTGGAGATTAATTTTTGAGTTTTTAATTCCGATTAATGCTAAACAAAAGAATTATTTACGAAATTGCGGTCTGGTTAAAATAACTCCCTCCATCCCGAAAAGGTTGGTCAAAGTTGACTTTCACGTGGATTAATAAATTTAAAATTGTATGATTGAAATTTGTGCAGAGAAGATAGAATTAATGTTAGGCACGTATTCCTTACTTTAAATAGAAATGACAAATCTTTTTGGAACATTCAAAAAAGAAAATTTGGTCAACCTTTTCAGAACGGAGGAGTATTTACTAAAACACCATTCGGTTGGGCTAAGGTTGGGAATACGCCAGATGCAGTGGCGATTTTTCCTTGAATACGGAATCTCAACAACTTTAGAAGAGAGTGGATAAGGTGGGCTGGTGGGGCCGAAGATTAAAAATCTTTTTTTTTTCTTTAATAAGTAGTATGGACTATGGAGTATTAATTTTGATGACGCTAAGAGGCCGTTTGACAATACTTTTTTGGCTTATCAACCCACTTTTTCACCAAACACGTAATTTTGGCTTTCACACGTTGAATTTTGTAAATGGCAGAAAAAGTAAGGTTGGAGTTACTTTTTTGGCTGTATTGTTGAAGTTACTGTAGATGGTCATTTTAGCTATTTTTACATAGAATTTTTTCTTTACTTTATTAATAAAATATATTTCAAAAATAATTTTTTCTTAAATCAACAGAAGCAGCCAATACAGCCACTTCAGCCAGAACTTCATAAATTTCAGCAGAATCAACCAAATCAACTGATTTTCGTGCTTCCAAACATTGCATCTATAAAGTTTTAAAAATTAAATTTTAAGAAAAAATTTAAACCCAACTCTACCAATCGTAGTCTTCCAATTATACTGTAATACAGTACTAGTATATACGTAGTATAATACGGAGTAGTAGTAGTGTAGTACAATAATGCTTTTCCGGACCATTCATGTTATTGTACGGAGTACGATAGTATTATTTATCACTTCAAGTCTTCAAGTCCATTCATTGTATTATTAACATGCATTATTATGCATAATACAGAGTATATTCTTTAATGTCTTTCTCGATTTTTTTTCCCCAAATGACGCTAACTGTGCTTATCATAATCGATCGCATTAATTTCAAGATTATCATTCCTAATTCCTAAATGGTTACATGAATTGTGAAATTTCTAGTGACAATGAAGTATCTTTAATTAATTACCTCTATCTTTTGAAAAGCTAATCTACATCCCTAAGTACTGCCATGTAACGTAATAGTCGAAAGAAAATTTGTGTGTTAAAGTCTAATTTAATGCAAAATTCTTCTCATATAAATGAAATTTTAAATTATAAACAGTGGAGTCTCAAAATTTCAGGTCATAATCTTCCCTTATTAAGGTTTTCCTTTTACATGATCTCTTATATAGTCTTATAAAGTTGATAACAATAGAACAATATACGCGAACATCTTGTTGAGGAGGCCGCTAAATGTATTTCAAACAAAAATTATGTTCAAACTCCATATATTGACTTAACTTTAATATGGTCCACAATGAATTCACAAATATGCGCGAAATGAAAAATATTTTCAGTCACATGCTCCACACCATTAGTAATTTTTTGTTTTTTCGAAATTCTAAAAAATGGGGCACGAGGAAATTTCATACCAACAAAAACCATTAGTTGACTAAAAACATATACAAATTTATAATATATGCCTAAAAACATATACTCCCTCTGTCCCTGAAAATACTTCCAACTTTCCCTTTTCGTCCGTCCCAAAAAAAATCACTTTCCCTTTTTGGCAAAAAAATTGTGGTTCACAGTATTTCTCTCATCTGCACAACTCTCCACCACACAATTCGCACTTTCTTAATCCCCATGCCACTTTATTTTGGAAGTAAATTCATGGACGGAGATAGTAACACAGTTAAAAAAGAACATGAGAATGATAATCGTAAAAGTAAAAGAGCACTACATTAAGGAACAAAATAATCTTATAGAAGGATGGGGAAAATGTCCATCTTTTGTCACACTTGTTTGTATATCAGTATGTGCATCATGAAATTTTATATCCAAACACAATTATATACGTAGTACGGAGTATTATATTTAAAAGTGGCAATGTAATTGGGTAACTGGCTAATAGGTAAACAATAATGTTTAACATGCAATAATTTAACAATATCCTGAATCTAGTGACCAATATATGCTTCATGTAGAAATGAGAAACAAAATTGGTCATGCATATATAGAAGATTATATTATACGAAGTATTTCATTCCACATCTTCTTGAGAAGGGCATAAGGGAGGTGCAGAAGGGGCATGAAAAGGAGAAAAATCAACCAAACCATTAATTCTAAAGAGATAAGACAGATAGAGAACTCCTCTCGGTTTCCCCATTTCAGAACTGATCACAAACGCCACATCTTCTTCCTCCGGAAAGAAGCTTTGCCGCTGGTGGCTCTGCTGAAACAACTCTTTTACTGGGATATTGACCGTCCCAATACTTCTATTTGGGACTAGGGACTTTTTACACTTGACTTCACAAACCAGCACAAGCCTGTCAGCGTCAATTTCGAATTCATCGACGCGAAAACTCGCGAGCGTATCCCACAATGGCCGAGAGCCTCCGAGCCCGTCGGCCTTGGTTCGGCACTCCGCGGGTGAGCCTCGGTTGCTGCCGTGTAACGTCGCCGTTGTGTAGAGCTGCATTTTGCCAAAGCGGTTGATCTTCTTGAAAACATCTGCTGATTTTATGGTGACTTCTAAGGTTATAGGGTTCATGTTAGAGGGAAGATGTATGAAACAAGAAGAAAGTGGTTTGATAAAAGTGGAATGAGTATTGCCGAAAATCTTCTCATCAGAGGTTTAATATTAGTTGAAGTCTAACTTCGCTGGATAGTCTGTTAAGCACTGATCAGTTTGAATTAAAATTTGGACTATTGTATCGGATTTGTAATTAATACGAAGTAATATAAATGTTTGGTATTTGGTAAGTTAATAAATGATCAAAGTATTAATACATACGCCTCTTCTGTGGGTAGATAAAATTTTGATTATGGATTGATGGACATGCATATACATCGTATATGCACCCATTTATTAAATTATTTGTTTCCGTATATAATTGAAATGTAAGTTACAATTAATAAGTTAACAATTTAGTACTGTGATATGCACTAAGTAGTAGTGCATAAATGTATATTTTTATGTTTGATTTGTGTATATTGTTTACCATTTTTATTATTTGTACACATTTGTTTTATTTAGTTTGTAATTGTTTTAGCTTCCATTTATAAGTTGTAAAGTAGTGGTAGAGTTTTTGGCAAAGAAAATGAGGAAAAACAAGAGTGCCTGGAAAATCACTGGAAAATCACTGGACCCGGTCGGGTCCCCTACTTGACCCGGTCGGGTCTGACTTGATCCGGGACAAAACGACATGATCTTCTGATTTTGACCGGACCCGGTTGGGTAGGGCACGATACCCGGTCGGGTACCCAGCCAAAGGTGTTGAAAAACACCTATAAATAGCACACTTTTCCTTCACAAATAATCATTCCTTCTTCCATACTTTTAAGCTCAGTTTAGAATAGTATTTTTTATATTTTTCTAGCATGTTTAGTCTCCAAATGAGGAGCTAAACTTCCATTTCTTGGTGTTGCTCTTGAAGCTTGTTGATTATTAAAGTTGTGAGTTATTTTCTTAACTTCTTCCCATAATATTAATTCTTCTCTTAATCTATCTTTATATTAATGTTGAGGAGTGTTGCTAAGATGACAATTAGTTCACATCTCGACTTTAATTACTACTAGAAACGATCAACGAACCGAGGGTTAATCGTTGATGATTTCACAAGTAAGTAACTTCGGTTTATTAATGCACGGTCGTGGTTAATAAACTTGAGAGAGATTAATTGTGTTGGTTAAACCGAAACCGTTGTGTTGATGTTATCAATCTCAATTGATTTTATCAAGGAGTTAAAAGATTAATGCTACTATCAAGCAGTGGCGGATCCAGGATATAAACTTATTGGGGGCGGAGTAATTAAAAAATGCATTAGTAAAAAATTATCGAAGTATTAATGTAATATTACAATATCAAAAGATTTGATAAAAAAATACGAAGTATATCACTATTGTTCGTGCCAAATTTTCGTTTAATTTGTAACAGTTTCAATCACGTCTATTCGATAAAACAACTTAGAAGATCACTCACAAAGTTATCACGAATCTATTATACAAATTAGTCTTCACTATTTCATATGGTTGTTTAATTTTTACAATTGGTAAAGTCAATGCTCATTTTAAAAGCTAATACACAAAGGATGTAAAAGATCATCGAGACTTTTCAAACTAGCAAACATTTCATTGCTAACACATTATATTTTAAATATAAATACTTAGTTGATGTTGATGAGTTTAACTTTCCATACAACTAAAGTCACTTGAATAAGATTCGGCCAATCTAATCGATTTTGATGTGTCAGACTCACGAAAGAATAATCGACTTAACCAGATAGTAGTTCATTTTATTTAACTATCTAAAATTAAACATATTATATACATTTAGGATTTTTAACTTACTATATGACACTTTCCATTTTGTAAGTGTAAATTACTATACTCTAGTAGATGTATAAATATTTCAGTAACTTATTCATCATCATCATTACAATAGGGCCTCAAAGGCTCCCACCTACGGTGGGGTAAGGGGGGTCGGATGTACGCAACCTTACCCTTGCACTAAAGCATAGAAAGACTGTTTTTGGATGACGCTTAGTGAAAATCGCATCGAAAATTACAAAGAAGCGTTGATAGTTTAGTGAGTCATTTTGCTTTATTTCAATAACTTATTAATTAAATTAAATATAATTGATATAAATCAATAATCTGTAATAAATTAATAACATTATAATAAGTTTATTGACATTTTTTAATATTTATATTTATATAAATATTAAAAATAGAATATGGCCTTATGGTAAACACCACCACCACACATATACGGATTACCTGTTAGCTAGGTACTAAACAAGTACATAGGGTATTAACCAACTTTCAAATTGACACTTGTGTGATACATAATACAGTATTTCGAAATAAATTCAACATCATACCAATTACCGTAGTGGGGCTAATATCTTCAATTCACCGTCTTGTGGGGAGGAACCTTGTTTATTGGGGGCAATCAATTATTTATATTGGGGGCAAATGATTAGACTTCTAATATTTATTAATATATAATAAAGGTTTAGTGGGTTGTTATTGGGGGCAGCTGCCCCCCCCCCCTATTACCTTACTAGATCCGCCCCTGCTATCAAGTCGCTATATGGCGGTGTTCTATACTTAACTAATAGTAAGAGTTATTAATGAACGGTTGTTAATAACTACCCTCGATGAATTGGAGATACTGCTCGGTTGAGTATTCGAGAGGGGATAATTTATAGATATAACAATGATCGACTAAAATATATCAACAAGTGGAAAGTAGCAAGGCCAAGTCCTTTTATCTTTGAATTAAAACTCATATAAGTTGTTCATTTTAATTTTTAATTAAATTATAGCATTCAATCCCAAAACCACCTTTTTATTACCACTTTTATCAAAAGAGAATTATTCATTTCCCTATGGATACGAACTCTACTTCACTTATACTACATATAAGTGTTAGTATCAATTTATTTTGACACACCATGACATAGTGCTCGTCATACTGCATATATTTCCGAAAATAATAATTAATGACATGGAAATTTTTATATTTTACTATTCACTTTGGTATGATCCAAGTTTTAGAATGCTTTTAATTGGACCAAAATTTTCTGGTCTAGTCTCGTATGATCTGATCTGATTTGTTTAAGTATGATCTGGTATACTATTCCCCGCATGTCGAATCTATATGTATTTTACAACTATCGAGGTCTAATATGATCAATTTAAATCTAACATGTTCTGATCTATTTAAGTCTAGTCTATCTGTACTGGAGTATATGTTTTTATTCCATGTGGATATATCACCCTTTTGCTTTACGTCCCTTTAAAAACTTGTTCTTCCACCCATGCAAAATGTGCTTAATCTCTCTCTGACTTTTAAGAAATCTCATTTTCAACACAAATTATCGCCGCTTGAGTAATTTTATTGTAAGAGTCTGTTTGGTAATCATGTTTTTCTTTCTCAGCCAATTTTTTTCACCAAAGATGTAATTTTGAGTAGAGTAAATCAAAACAAGTTATTGTTAATTTTTTTTTACTAAATTGACTGGAATTTCAATGTTACTATACGAGATTACGAGCTCTTAATTTGTTAACTCCAAAACTGTATATATAATATTTTTTAAAGAAATTTTATACGCAGTACAGAGTATATTATTAGCAAGTGAAGTTAATCAATCATTCATGTTTTTAATTTCGGGAATTATGACTAGTATCAAATTTTAATCCAGTCTTGTGTCCACCCTTTGCCTAAGATTTGTGCCAAAGTTATACGTAGTATATTTCATGAGCTAGTTGAAACATTCCAATACCAAACTATAAATTACAGATTAAGCGAAAGGAATGGTCACCAGGAGTTGATTAGGATGCTAACTAAATTCAAAATCAGTGAACAAATGAAGGCTATCAAGGGAAACTTGCCATGTCTATGGTTTATAATTTTCAGTATATATCTTATGCTGCCAATACACATGCCGGCGGCTTCATGATCGCATGGTCTCAAAGTGACAAATTGTAGACAAGTTTCAATATAAAAAGGATTTCCCGATTCATCGTGCCCGACTCAAACGACTCTCTGGAGAATGCTTGGAACCAACAAATGAAATCACAAATGGTGTTTGCACAATGCTATTTACTTTGAGATATCTCCATTTACGTTGTCTAGCTGCTCAGCTTCCTCCTGTCTTTGGGGGCTGTTTATGTTGGAAGTGAAAACAAAATTAACAGTGTAATTATTTCCATCAATCTTAGTAGAAACATAATAGGAAGTGAATAGAAGCAGGACAGAGTCTATTCAAGGTGGCATACCTTTTTAAGGGGCACCTTTGAAACTGATGCTGGTTTTAATATTTCAAAAGAACATACTAGTTGCTCATCGACACTTAATAAAGCACCTACATTGTCAAACTCCCCGCCATAATTTGGAGCTGAAAATATTGTTACGAGCCTTCTTTTTGCAAAGAATTCATATCCGTCTTCCACCACCTGCAATGGAGGCATATGATTGTATTACATTCATTGCAGGTAATCTTATTCACCAGCAGAAATGTGTTTTATACAAGGCTTTAAGGTATAACTAATGAATTACTGAATCACCAAGAAATAACATTTACCCAATGCTGATTACTTATACAAAACATTGGACTCGCATAATTCAAACTATTGATATCATCTTTTATAACGTGGGAATTCAAGGCAATAGAAAAGGTTGGGTTTAGAGTATCAAGGAAAACACAACACCCAATTATTTCATACAGTTTGGGAATGATGGCGGGATATTCTTATTCAGCGCTTTAATTGAGTAACTGGAAACAAGTGCATCCCCCGTGCAGGAAATTGTTGATGGGTTTTATATTGAATCTATATGTGAAATGGGCTTAGGATGCAGGAGCGGACTAAAAACGGAAATATAAGTTTAAATCACATAAAAATGAATGAGCTTATAAGGAAGTTCTTGGCATACCTGATGACCTCGGCAAATAAGGTCTAAATCGTTTTTCCTCAAAAACTCTGCAACAGCATCAGCCCCAAAAGTGCATGAAACACCTCGATCACTCTCTGACCAACCCTTTATTTTAGCATCCGGATCAGACCAGAGCAAATCACATAACAAACCACTATCGGGAATGTCTGTGGGCCGCTGAATTTCTGATATTTGGTCCAAAGTGTTTAGCTCTGGGGAAAGCCCTCCATGCATGCAGAGGATCTTTTCATCAATAAGTGCAGTGACAGGCAAACAATTAAAGCAGTCCGTGAATATCTTCCAGAGCCGCACGTTGAATCTTCTTTTGCATTCATCATAAAATCCATAAATCCTGTTAATTTTAGCATCTTCATGGTTCCCCCTAAGAAGGAACATTTTGTCGGGATATCGTATTTTGTAAGCAAGTAGCAAGCAAATTGTCTCCAAGCTATGTTTGCCGCGATCAACATAGTCCCCTAGAAAAAGATAGTTGGCAGCAGGAGGATAGCCACCGTATTCAAAGAGCCTTAACAGGTCTTGGTATTGACCATGTATATCACCTGCATAATAACATCATTATGTCGGAACAAATGAAGAACATAGGCAAATATTACATCTAAATCTAGGCCATTGTGGAAGGGAAGACATTGAGGTCTGATAGTAAACAACAACAATAACCAAGTTATTGATTTCTTGCTATGCATTTCATCAAATTAGAAACTTTTAAATTGAAAATGCATGATATCGAAAAAAAGATAAAAACTTGTAACTAATGTTAACCTTATATATCAGATACATTGGCATTATAATACAAAACCCTATAAACAAATCAATGCGTGATAAATTTTTCATTGATTAACGCAATAAAGGTGTATATCATGGTGTAATTGCTCATCCTATATAACGACTCAGGAAAAAACGCCTTCTACCACCCTTGAGCTCATATAAGAATTGAGTATTCCACACAAATTTGTTAATTTCACGTTTATTCTCCTAGAAATTCATACATGTAAAGCACATAAAACAAGAGATTCATACCACAGATCCTAATGGGGGCACGTAATTGAAGGAGAGTCGGTTCAGAAAGAAAAATCTGCCGAGCGTTGACGCAAAGCTGCCGAATCTCAGCCTCAGAGAGCTGAACCTGTTTTTCTCCTTTGCCTTCCAGAAGCCTCCTGATAATATCATCCAATACCCCTCTCTCCATCACACCCTCCATTGTCATCATATTCATTTGCTCCCTTTCCTTTGTAACACAGAAGCAATCCTAATCTCCGCCAAATCTTTAGTCAAACTATTATGTGATTATTATGATAACACCCCAGAATCCCTGCAAATGTAAAACTTTTAGAAAAGAGGTATGTGGATATGAAAGGGTATTAATGTGGATGGAGATGAAGAAAGATAGGGAATGTCGTCCATTCTTTTGTTCTGTCAAACTATCCTCGAAGGATAATGGAAGGTATTCTCAACAATGAATTTCTACGGTAAGAGAAATTCATAAAATACCAAAATGGAAGAAAATGAGGCAGGTGGACAGTGGACTTGACTTATATCCAAAACCTAAATTCAAAATCACTATTGATATTTTTAATTAATTTACTCGTCTAATTTGATAAATGATTGTTCTATGTGTATTTTATAATTAACGAAGTCTAATATGACTTGATATGGTCTAATCTGACCTATTTTAAGTTTGATCATATCTGGAATTAAAATCAATTCAATTAAAATGTCTCAGAAGCTCTAAAATTTATAGCTTAATAAAAAAATGGGGTAATTTGAGTTTGCACCCCATATTATTGTCTAAATTGGACTTTGCACCCCGTTTTTTAAAATCTTAGTTTTTGCACCCCAACCCCATATGAAAAGACAAAAATGACCTCAATCAGGAATATGTTGAAGGTCAATAGAATTGTTAATGGAGGGGCATTTTTGTCTTTTCATATGGGGTTGGGGTGCAAAAACAAAGTTTTTTAAAAACAGGGTGCAAACTCCAATTTAGACAATAATATGGGGTGCAAACTCAAATTACCCCATAAAAAATCAATACGGAGTATAATGTATCAATAATATTTTATTAAATGTACTTTTAACCGAGAATTGAACTCAATCTAACCCCGGCCTACTGAAACCCGATTCGGACATAATGGGTCTCATTTGAGCCCATTTTTCCATACCCCTACGACCATTTGGAGAGGGAAGGTTTTAGGAGTCCAAAAAGTTAAAAATTGAAATTTTGGACGCCTAAATGTGTGTAGTGGGGGATTGGAAGAGATCTTAAGAGCATCTCCAACCCATAGGGTGGATTGGTGCTTATGAGTACAACATATGGAGAGGGTGTATTAAAATTATGAGATAAAAGTAATCATGATAAGAGGGTCCATTGATACTCTACTCCAATGGGGAAGTGAAGCTTGTGCAATATAAAAATCATCATTAAAAAAATCTCAAATTAGACCTTCTACTTGACCTTGTCCATTGCCACAAAGGATGGACCTCATCCATTTCTTTTTGTATTGGAAAGTGCATTTGCTTACAAATGGTCCATTTGGTGAGGTGGATGACATTTTTTTGGCAATCCACCTCCCCATTGGAGGTGCTCTAAAAGTGGGTAAGGGGGTTAGGGTCTTATTAGGGAGTGTTTGCAATTGCTTAAAAAGGCACTTCTCGGCTTTTGGCTTAAAAACACTTATTTACCAAATACTACCAATTTTTACTTTTCTCGGCTTTCGTGTGAAAAGTGCTTTTCCCTTTTCTATTACACAAAAAACACTTATTTTACCAAACACTACCAACTTTTACTTTTCAAAATCACTTTTTTCTCAAACACTATCAACTTTTATTTAATCATTTTTTTCAAAAGTGCTTTTTTAAGCAGAAGCTGTTGCAAACATTCCCTGGATTGACTCTCAAATGATGATGTCATCCCTGTGTCATTAATCCTCAAATTTTTTAAAACTCTTATAACTTTTTTATTTGTATTCCAACTTTTTCAAAGAACATATCAAAATTCATGAATTTTCGTGATCTTTCATATGACACCAATATGTATTATATAAAATTAAAAAAATCTCAAGTTTTAACCGTTGAACTTTTTCTGAGTAAAAAAACATGAATCACAAATTTTTAATTCATGAAGCATTCACAAATAACTCAATATTTCATAATCGAACTTTACTTGAACTAAGTTCATTTTTTTAAAACTGAAAAACATTAAAAAAAAATTAATGAAATTTATTTATTTTTACATTGAAATGTGTATTTTTTCATAATTATTTAGGGAACATATTTAAAGTAAAACATTACTTATAATAATTTAATTAATGTTTTACTAAATTGATATGTAAAAAAAATATGCTGAGAGTATTTTATTGACGGTGCACGAATGCAGGAAAATATATTATTGACGGAGTTTAAACACTATTTTTATATGGACGGAGTCCAAATTTAACAATTTAGACTCTTGACCACTACAAATGGTCTAAGGTATTAAGGGTAATTTTAGTGTTATAAAAAAACGGAACCAAATGGAACAATCTCACTCCTACTCTTAGATGTTATGTGCCGTTGTGAAGTAATGTATGTTTTAGGGATGGGCAAAAGACCCGGTCCCATTGGTCCGTTCTAGAACGTTCCAGTTCCGTTCCGAAATTGTCCCGTTAAATACGGGATAAACTATTTTTGTCCCGTTCCGGTCCCGAACCGTTTCAAAACAAAACGAGACCGGGACAAGTAAAATATGTCCCGTTCCATCTCGTTGTCCCGATTCGAATACTAATGAAATTAATTAGGTATTAGATATCTAATATGTAGAACACCTAAAGGAGTTTAAATTGTCAAGTATGAACTATCTTCTACATACTAAAATGAAACTCTCGTATACTCCCACATGTTTCACTTATGATAATATTGTTTTAGTCTTTTTTATTTTTGCTGTTTATTAATTATTAGTAGTATTATGTGTGTTGGAGTTATTGTTGTTAAAAAAAAAGTAAAAAAAAAAGTTATTGTTGTTGTTACCGTTTGTTTCGTGCAACTATCCTATTAATCTACTACTTTTTTGTGTTGCATTTTTAGTGTTGTAGTTTTTTGTCATGAAGTTTGTTTATCGCTTTGATGTGCTTTAGGAGTTGTATTTTCTCGCTGTAACTCTTTTTGGGATGTCCCGAACCGTCCCGTTCTGTTCCGGTACCGGTTTAAAAGGGACAATAGCGGGACAACGTCTTGTCCCGTCCCGTTCTGTCCCGTTATCCTAAATCGGGTTCGGGACCGAGATAGTCTAATTCCCATCCTGTCCCGTCTCGTGCCCACCCCTAGTATGTTTTATTCAATAAAAACAAATGAATTATTATTACTATTATTATTATTATTATTAATCAATTCCTTGTTCAAATAAAACTAGCCATCAGACATATAAATAACTACCTTAACAAGTTGTTGAGCAACTTGATTCGCTGACCGTTTCACATGAGGTATTGTTATGCTAAAAAAACTTAAAGTAATGTATGTTTGCAAAACAATAAGACATATTGTATTGCCTTTTATGCTCTTTTTAATTACTCCCTGGTTAAATCTTGACATTTGCTTTTGGCAAGATGTTTTAGGTGACCAATTATTAGAAAAACTAGCGATTACTCGCGCAAGGCGCGATAGTGTTAGCCCAAATTAAAATAATGTTGTCTTTTGTAAAAAAAAGTGTTATATTCAAAATTGTTATGAGAGTTTGGTAAATAGTTAATGAAATTTTAAATATTATATACCAAGTATATATTTTAAAAATTGTCGGAATAGTTATATTTGATGCCAATCAATTATTGTAAATATCATCCAAATGCATATAGTTGTCCACAACCTAGTCTTATGAACAATAAATATTTCACATTCCTGACAATGTTGTAATCATATGTGTTTGAAGTCACAAAAGATTACAAACGCGTTTGGTAACACTAAAATTGGCTGAATTGGCTAATTGTGCTGAAATTTATGAAGTTCTGGCTGAATGGGCTGATTCTGCTGATTCATGAAAAAATTATATTTAAAATATTTTTTATTAATTAATTAAATAAAAAAATTATATGAAAAATAGTTAAAATGATCCTCTACAGTAACTTCAGCCAATACAGCCAGAAAAGTAACTTCAACCTTACTTTTTCTGCTAATTACAAAATTCAGCACGTGAAATAAAAAATTACGTGTTTGGTGAAAAAGCTGACTGATAAGTTTGATAAGCCGAAAAAGGGGGTCACCAAACGGGCTCTACATTTAAGTCACGTAGTTAGCTATATAGCATCGACCTTTGATAGAAAATTTGTGCATGATAGTTCACAAGTGAAACATTTCTTATATTGAACATATGCTCCGTAATTGTACTAATATTTTCTACCAAAAATAAAATTTATATATTTAGAAAGTACAAGAAACTTTGTATTAATGTATAAAATTAAATGAAATTTGAGTATGTTAAGAAAAACAATAACTATGAAATCATAAAAGAATTTCTAATATAAAGTGAATGAGAAGTACATCATTATCATTATTGATATTCCGTATTATGCAATTAAAAGTTCACATCTACAAAAGGAAAAAGAATAATAGAAGAAATAAAATAAAATGAAGAGGTGGCATGACAAATAAAAGAATTTAGGAATAAAAATTCAAAGTCATGGTGTCAATCAGGCCATGCCCCTTCATTTTATGTGCTATGGATCAGCTTTACATTTGAAGCAGATTGGAGCTTAAAATGGACTTGACGGAAGTTAAAAGACTTGAGGACCGTAAGAGTAAAGTAGCCAAATGCAAAAAAAAGGGTTCCACCTTTCTAATAAAATGTACAACATCTCATGCTCTAAGTGTGTTGACACAATTCAGGGATACCAACCCCCATTCATAATTATATTGTTGTTAGCTGTTAGACAAATGTCTTTCATGCCCTATGATTTTGGGGATAATTAATGTAATCCAATCAAATGTAAAAAGTGGGCGAGGAGTGAATGTAGTTAGGACATTTAATGTAAAATGAGTTCCCTAAAAAAGAAACGTAAAGATTTAAATGGGACGTCCCAAAAAAAAATGTAAAAATTGTAATTGGTTTTGTCACTGAAAAGATTTGTTCAAAAGTCTACATTCGGTAACAACACAATTTAAGTTGTGTTTAAATTTAAAGATTTTATATAAAGGTAATTACTTTGAGTACATTGTGAGTGTTTGTTGCTTTTAGTATTAGTTACAACAACTTATTCAACTTAACAACAATAGACAAAACAAGTACTTTTCTTTCTAAAAACCATTTTAATTATTAAAAAAATCAATATTATATATTTTTAGCTAGTCGTGTTAGCTACATTTATTGGAAAAACTACGCACATACATATGTAAATATATGTAGTATATGTCTCTTCTTTCTTCTTTTCTTGTTTGTTGAAGATCGTTGGGTTTTCGTCTTATTCTTGAAACTAGTTACGTGACGCGCGTTGCGCGAAGAGAAAATGCACAATGCAATTT